ATATTATTACTTTTATTAAATTCTACTATAATATATATTTTTTAATTTTACACTTCTTTGTATTTGAAGTTTATAAACCATCAAATGTTTCTATTTATTAACGTATTTAGTGATACGGTTGTTACGTGACTATAAAATATAATATGAAACATGTTTTTAAGTCAAGTTAGTCTATATATTTGAAAAACTTATATCAAAAAGTTCAATCCTAAAAAGACGCATTAAACACAGACCTAGAAATAATTTTTTTTCAATGAATGTTGACTAATAATTTTGACAAAATAAAATAACATATTCAAATTAAATATAATTTTAATATTTATGTGAAGTTATTAAAGTCTGTCATCTGTAAGTTATCTTATTGCACTACTTTTATGTATGAATAAATAATATAAAAACAATTATACTTATTTTAATTACCAACAACACTCGTTCATATGCTATTAGAGAAAAAGTTTCAACAAAAATGATAAATCTGAAAACAAAATGGGTGACAGAACTATCCTCCCTTATGCATTTCTTCATGCTCTCTTTGTTTTTCCTTTGCCTTTTATACACATCATTTATTAGTTGCGCCAATTTCTCCCTAAATGTAGTACATTAGAGATAAGGTATCTCCCTACCTACTCTGGGAGAAAATACCAATAACTTAGAGGATAAGAACATGTGAATACGATTTTTTTTTTCAATTAAATTTAGATTTTGAAAGTTGTCTAGTTACTATTTTATATTGATAATGTGATATTTATGCTTTAGTTTACAAAAATCACACAGATAGGAAGTATGTTATAATATTTTTCATATAATTAGAAGGGTTAGTATAATTTGTAAAGAGTATCATTGTAACCTTGTTGAGAGAATTAAAAAGGTAAAGTAGGACCTAAAAGGATGAGAAAATTAAAAAAAAAAATTTAATAACTTTTTTACATTAGTTTATGGTAATTTGTGATTCATCCGTTTAAAATATACATGTCAATAATTTATTTAGAAAAGTTGTTAACATATTAAATTGACCTAAGGTAAACTTTGTCTGGTTGTTATCAAATGAAGTCACTTTTACCAGCTAAACTGGGAGTTTTAGCAAATATATTTCCATTTTCTAATGTTTGGTTGGTTCAGTTTTGTTGTGTTCTTGGCCCATCCTTTTAAGAATGTTTTTCGCTTATTAGCGGTGTTAACCTAAATTCAACCTAATACTTTCACAATTTTGTCTGTTTTCAATAAATTGATGCTGTTCGTAATACACAACTTTTGTCTCCATGCCCAAAACCTACGCTGAAAAAGCAATTTCCTTTACTATCAAATGCTTTTGCACGTCACATGTTTACACATACTTTATTTGGGAACGAATTTTCTTTCTTTATTCATTTAATGAGCGTGATTCAATAAAATGGGATCAATCAATTTTTTGAGGAAAGTACCAAAAACTGTCAAAAACTAGAGAAGTCATGAGTTAATATGGGTGAGTTAACTCACTCCTTTGACAATCCTGTATAAAACAGAGCCTTCTGCTTATAAAAATTAAATTTGATGATGATTTTAAAAAAAAATTAACATGAATATAATAATAGATAGATAAACTCAAAAGTAAATGATGATATAAAAAGGTCATGTAATATAAAAAGTTCATGTACGTATTAAGTTATATTAATTTAAGTCAAAATTTACCACCTATTTTATAAAAGTAAAAGTTAGGAACGTATACTGGAACTTGACCGTGTGACTCATAATCTTCCATTTCTTTCTAGATGTGTCACGAAGAACATCTGACTATTGTTTCACATTAATGCCAAAATATGAAACCCTAAACCACTTATTGAGTTGTTACAAAATAAATGGATAGATGTATATTAAGACTCAAAAGTATTTTACAATTATAACTTTTTAATAGAAAAAATAATTATATTATTTTTTGGCCGATTATAAAATGTGCAGCAGTTTTCGAGATTAATTTTGTAAAATATAAATAATTGTCTCTAGGAAACATTGACATGGTCTGGAGGTAGGTTCGAAATTGGCCAAGAGCAGGATAAAATTCAACTTATTCAAACTAAACGCGTTGAAAAACATAGCGACAACCCAACAACAATTAAATGTCATTATCAGATACCAGAGAATCTCCTCAATATCTACTTCAATACCAAGTTCAAATACCATTTTTCTCTCACAAACCATTCACCAAAACCTCAGCCATGAAGCTGAATCGCCTCTGCATCGTTTTACCACCAAATTCTGGTGAAATGGTGGTGCCACTTGAAAAGGGTGTTCAACAAGAACCCTTCCAAACACCAGAGAAACAAGTTGTTGAGGCCAAACAGCCTCACAGGGCATGTGGGGGACAAGTTCTTGCTTCTCTTGGAGATTTTTTGGGCAAGTTGTATGACTCAGGGTGGTGGAGAATTTGCCAAAAGGGAGAGCACAAAGAGAAGCACGACTCTGGTGTGTTGTTTCATGACATGGATGGTGTGCAAGTTTCTGTTAACGTTGGCAGGGACAACCCCAGAATTTTCAGCTATGCAGAGCTGTTCATAGGGTCTAATGGTTTCAGTGAAGACCAAGTTTTGGGGAGTGGAGGGTTTGGCAAAGTGTACAAGGCCGTTTTGCCGAGTGATGGAACCGTGGTTGCTGTGAAGTGCTGTTTGGCAGGGAAAGGGAAGCAGTTTGAGAAAAGTTTTGCAGCGGAGTTAACAGCCGTCGCTGATCTTCGCCACAAGAATCTTGTGAGGCTGAGGGGTTGGTGTGTCTATGAAGATCAGTTGCATCTTGTTTATGACTACATGCCAAACCGAAGCCTTGACCGTGTTCTGTTTCGCAGACATGAGAATTTGAAGGCCAAGCCTCTTCAATGGGGACAGAGAGTGAAGATTGTGAAAGGTTTGGCAGCTGCATTGTACTATCTCCATGAGCAACTAGAGACTCAAATCATTCATAGGGATGTTAAAACCAGCAACGTTATGCTTGATTCCCATTACAATGCTCGGTTGGGTGACTTTGGCATGGCAAGGTGGCTAGAGCATGAGCTTGAGTATGAGTATAAGAATAAGAACAGGAAAACAATATCAATCAGAAGTGACCATTTCAGATTGGGAGAGACGTCAAGAGTAGGGGGCACAATTGGGTATCTTCCTCCTGAAAGCTTGCAGAAACAAAGCAATGCTACCTCCAAATCTGATGTCTTCAGTTTTGGGATTGTTGTGTTAGAGGTGGCATCTGGAAGGAGAGCAATTGATCTCACACAGCCAGATGAACAAATGATTCTGCTTGACTGGATTAGAAGGCTTTCTGATGAAGGGAAGCTTCTGGAAGCAGCTGATACAAGGCTACCGGATGGATCCTTCATGCTGTCAGAGATGCAGCATTTCATTCACACAGGCCTCCTCTGCACACTCCATGACCCACAATTGAGGCCAAGCATGAAATGGGTAGTGGAAGCTCTTTCTGACTTTTCTTTTAAACTACCACCACTCCCTTCTTTTCTCTCCCACCCTTTATACATCTCTTTGTCTTCCCCATCTGATACTAGTCACAGTCCAAGCAGCACAAGTGGCACTAGCTCCACCACAGATAATGCAAGCATAACCAACAACAATACCTCAAACTATGTCACGGCAGCAGGTGAAACTGTGTATGTAACCGCTGAGTACAAAAACAGTGAAATCATCTCTTCTAAGAGCAATCACCACCAGCGACCATTTCCTGTGGTAGAAACTCCAAGAGAAATATCATACAAGGAGATTGTTTCTGCTACAGATAACTTCTCTGATTCAAGAAGGGTGGCTGAGCTAGACTTTGGAACTGCTTACCATGGCATCCTTGATGACAAATGCCATGTTTTGGTGAAACGCCTTGGGATGAAGACTTGTCCTGCACTGCGTGATAGATTCTCCAACGAACTCCGGAACCTGGGACGGCTTCGCCACAGGAATTTGGTTCAACTTCGTGGATGGTGCACTGAGCAAGGAGAGATGCTTGTTATTTATGATTACTCGGCAAGTAGAATCCTCAGCCAACTGCTTATGCATCATAACAATGGAACTCGAAGTGGAGCTTCTTTCCTCCAATGGCATCACAGGTACAACGTAGTGAAAGCACTGGCCTCCGCAGTACTCTATCTACATGAGGAATGGGATGAACAAGTGATCCACAGAAACATTACTTCTTCCGCTGTCATTCTTGAGCCAGATATGAATCCAAGACTCAGCTCTTTCGCTCTGGCAGAATTTTTGTCAAGGAATGAGCATGGTCATCATGTAGTTTCTGACACTAGAAAATCGGTTCGTGGGATTTTCGGCTACATGTCACCAGAATACGTGGAATCAGGCGAAGCAACCACTGAAGCTGATGTTTATAGTTTTGGTGTGGTGGTGCTTGAAGTTGTGAGTGGACAGATGGCAGTAGATTTTAGGCAACCAGAGGTACTTTTGGTGAAGAAGGTTCATGAATTTGAGATGAGAAAAAGACCATTGAAAGAATTAGCTGACATTAGACTCAGTGGAGAATACAATGACCAAGAATTGATGAGATTAGTAAGGTTAGGAATTGCTTGCACAAGTTGCAACCCGCAGCTAAGACCAAGCATGAGACAGATAGTAAGCATCCTTGATGGCAATGACAAATTACTTGTCCAGAGTAGCAAAGAGAGCAGGGAAGAATGGAGACAAAGAAATTACCGTTCTTTGTCAATGGTTAAGAGAATCCAAGCTCTAGGAATACAGTAAGAAATTGCAGAAGGACATTGAAGTTACCTAATGGGAACTGAAATTTTTGTAACATAGAAAAATCTCTATCTTGTTTTTGTCTCCATGTTTTATCCATTTTGTCTACTTAATATCTATACTAGGTTGTATATTATATAAAAGAAGCTTCATGTATCAGTGTATTTTTATGCAGAAGCATGGCAAAAATCATGTGTTTCTATTCATACTTCAATTTTCTAGTTTTCAATTCCACAAGCAAAGTGTATAATATTCTCCAACACAGTGTTAAGAACATGGAGACAAGTCAAGCTCACACATTTAGCACAATGTAACTTCAAACTCTTCTCTCTATTCATCTGCTTCAATCCCAACCCAATTAATGAAACCAAATAGGAACTCCCTGAACGTGACCTGACCATTCTTGTCCCAGTCCATTTCTTCTGCAAGGAAGACAAAATCAGAGAGGGAAATCAGAAAGGTAACATAAAATAAGAGAGGAGAAAGGAAAGATCAAAAACAGATCATGCTATAGAATTGAAGTGAAGTAAATAATACGAAATCGGTGTTTAGAGATGCGCGCAGGGGATCTTTCACGAGGGTTGGTCTCATTCAGTGTCCTGATCATGTCCTTTTTGTTGAGCTTTCCATCACCATTTTGATCAAAAAACACAAAGGCCTCCACTATGGTATTGAAAATTTCTCCAACCTGTTCTAACCCTGCTTTAGATGACTGAAAGAAAAATGTAATCATGATGAAGTCATTGCATAGTTTAAGCAGCAATTTCAAGATCAATAAAGCATAAAATTAAGTTTCCAATGAGTACATTAACAGAGGATGAAGGTTCTGCTAGTAGATGGATGAGGCATAGAAGAACTATAAACTCATTGAACTGTATGCCCTTGCTTCCATCAAGATCACAATACTCAAAAAGATTCTCAATCTCCTTCTCTTTAAGATGAAGTTCTAGATGTTCTAAGAACTTCTTTAGCTCATTGGGTTCTATAGATCCATTAGAATCCTCATCTGTGAATGATACAAATATAAAACACTTACTTTTCTACCAAAATTGAATTGTAGCTCATTCAAAACAGAATATTGGGGCTGTTATTGAAACTTACCATACTGTTCAAACATTCCTCTTAGAGTTTTCAGCCTCTCCTTAAACATTGGGAACATCATAACTATACTATCAACTGATTTCAACTTGCTCTGTCCAAATTTATATCTTCTCATTTCAACTATTTTTCTTTCAATCTTGTCATCCAAGCACATATTCTTGCTTGACTTGCCAATACATGACATTATCACTCCCATTTTATTGGCAAAGACTTCTGAAGAAAGCAAAAGGTAAGAGTAACAATCCTTGAAATCAGGTATACGGAAACAAAAAAGAAATTAATCATGTGTTAATTTTTGTGAATCTAACAATAGTGTCTTTGATATCTTTCAGTTGATAAATATCAGAAGTAAACGAAGTATTTTTAGTTTTTCTTAAGACTGTTATCAATATGCATGTGCAAGGGACACAAGAAATTCTCAATTCTTGCAATTTTTCAAATTATTTTGTCAAGTGATGTTCTAGTAAATTAGAAATTCCAAATGTTGTCCAATGCCTAACAAAATATGAAATGGATTAAAGAAGAGAAAAGAATACGACAAGAAAAAGAAACATACCTGCCAATTTTCTGGTGCTTGGCTTATGACAGGTAAATAAGGTAGTTTTGGGAGAACCAAAGGATCAGAAAGAAGCAATTTCTAAATATGCAAAAATTTTGAAGAATAGAGAAGCATCTCAAAAATTATACGGAAAGAAAAAGAGAAGTTTAGTGGATTCCAAGTGGGGAGAGTAGCCATCTTTTCTTGAGTGCTAGGCCCTCTCCAAGTATCCAAGTTCCAAAGGGGTACTTAAGGAATATGTTCCATTGACTTTAAAAACTGCATATTATGCTTATTCGTTAACAATTTTTCATAACAATTTTTTTATAATAAGAAAAAAAAAACAAACTAACTTCGGTTAGAAGTACAAACATTCGGTCTCTACAGTTAAATAATAAAAATGTTTTTAGTCTTGAAATTGGAATTTATTTGAAACTTTCTATCTTTAAACTTTAAAAATCATGTAGTGATACATTTTATTAGTCTTGAAAATGGAATTTATCTTCAAACTTTGGATCTTTAAACTTTAAAAATCATGTCTAGTTCAAATGTTAATCTTAAAACTTATTTAACATATAATTTTTTTTAATATATTTATATTAAAAATATTATATCTATTATTTTTAAAATTTGAATATCAATATATCAAATTAAAAAAAAATTCTAATTTTACGTCTAATTTAAAATCTTAAAAATATATTTAATGATAACCTTTAAGTTGGTTTTGCCTAACGTTTTTCTAGGCGCTGCCATTAGTTATAGAGAAATAGAACATGACCAGGTAGCCACAGTTGTTCCTGGTTTCTCCTTGTACCGAAGATATCATATTTGACAATTTTCTGGTGAATAATATTGCTGAAACTGTGTCCAATACTTTGCACATTTCTATGTTGACATTCCTCGTAGATAATGTAATGTTCTTTGTCGAGAAGTTTCACCAAAAGGGTGAAATATGAGTCAATTTGTTTAACATTCCGACTTATAAAATATACATCAAGGGCATATGAAAACCGTGGCAGTATTGGACAAATCAGAAACAGCAGTTGGAACACAATATCACGTCATTCGTTGGATGGTCATCTAAATTACGTATAAATATCTCAGTTTTGTTCAGTTTTAATTAATATAAAATTTCAGCAGAGCTGTGCTTTGGAATCTATCAGTTTTAGAGTGATGCTCCCTCCGGATCCCATCTTCTCCCTTTTTACTTTTTATTTTTAACAATTTTACTTTTTATTTTTCAAAACTCTAATTTCAATTTTCTCACTTTCACTTTCATCAACAAGTTATTCCTCTTCATTATCACTTTCTCTCTTTCTCTTAATTTTTACATTGGTTAACACAAAATTTGACAGAAAAAATAAATTCTTCATAGTATAAATTTAAAACATTTATAGATTCTGATGAGCTTTGAAGTATCATGATTCCATAATATAATCTGCTAAAAATTTCTTTCACACTTCCTTGTCTTTAAATAACCAAACTTGAAAATCTATATTTAAACTTGAAACTCTAAACCACCAGGAGATAATAACCCTTGCCATTGTAAACCAAACCATTTAGGTCGCATGAGCTGAACTTCTCTTCGATGATCACTGGGTGTTTGGTGAATCCCGCAAAATTTGAAAGAAAATGAAAAATATTATGTTAACGAAAGTGAAAATTTGCACCCACTTATATATTATAAATTGACCTTATCTCTAGTCGATGTGAAACTTCCAACATTTGGTATGCATTAAGTAGGGGAAAATCTTAACACCTCCACTCCCAGTTTCCGTAAGTATCCTCTTCCTTTCCCATTGAAGCGAGAAACAAAAGCAACATAACGTAGTGTAATTCATGAATAAATGACAGAGAAGGAGCTAGGAGGGGTTGTGAATTACCCAAGTTCAGTACAAGGAAATGGGGCTGTTAGTATCTATACTGAGTCTAGTTCTTGCTTGTCTGCTATGATTCACTTTATAGATTTCTGTTGATGGTAATGTTTAATTCCTGAACTTTGACTCCTTATTATTATGCACTCTATGACTCCTTAATATTTTAGGTTTCTGTTGAGTAATTCTGCTATGATTCACTGATATTTCTATTGATGAGTATTTATAAAAAAAACAGGGTTAGGTCTTTCATCCAAATAAGCCAGGCCCATTGCGTTCACGCGTGCTTTCATCCTTGATTCTCTAATCCTATTTTCTGAGTTCTGGAAGGTCATTAACAAGAATACCAATTCACAACAACAACGATTCTACCCACCTCCTCCATAGACATGGTTTGTTTTCGTTATTTCTACCCTTTTTGTTTTTCTGTGTTTTAATGGAACATTTTCAGTTTCAAATTTTAATTTTAAGTATGAACGTTTGGGGTCTTATAATTGTGTGTTTGATTCCAGGCTACCCTTGCTGATTCTTTTCTTGCCGACCTCGATGAACTCTCTGATAATGAGGCCGAAATTCTAGTAAGCTTCTTCTTCTTCTTCTTTATCTTTTTATTTACTTTTATCTAAACTAAGTTTGAAAGAATTTAGGAAAAGTTTTGCTACAAATAAGGTGGTTGATTCCTTTTTGTTTCAGGAGAATAACGATGTTGATGCTGCTGACATGGAAGAGGATGTTGATGGTGATCTGGCTGACCTAGAAAACCTCAACTATGATGACTTGGACAGTGTTTCCAAGTTGCAGAAAACACAGAGGTACATTGATATTATACAGGTAAGTTGCTCCTCATTTCTTTTGAAGTGATTATAAATTGACCACAGTCAAGCATTTAAATTGTGGACATTGTTTCATCGTGTTCCTTGATATTATGCCAAATTGGGGACAGATGCTGTTGGTGCAGCCACCACCATTGTGATCTTTTTACAGTTGCAGACACCCTATAAAACGTGACGTTGCAGCCAAAATGATGGTCACATACTGTTACTTAAAACCTTGCTACCAGTTGCTGTTGGTGGGACCTTCAATATCGCTACTACTACTTTCACAATTTAAAACCAGGCTTGTCTGTGAATAGTCATTGTTATTGCTATTGCTGTTGGGTGCTTTATTGACTTTTGTAGAATCTAAAATCAGTTTGTCTAAGCGGGGAATTTAGGTTTCTTTCTTTTTTATATTGTGAATGGTGTTGTTCTGTCTTTTTAGTTTCATTTCTTTTGCTGATATCTAGGGTGTTTTATTTATTGAGACATACATATTGACATTGGGGCATGAATAAGGTATAATGTTATTTTTTATTGCAGAAAGTGGAAGAGGCCCTTAAAATGGGGTCAGATGTCTCCACTCAGGGACTGGATCTAGAAGATGATCCTGAATATCAATTGATTGTGGATTGCAATGCTCTGTCAGTTGACATTGAGAATGAAATTGTTATAATCCACAATTTTATTCGTGACAAATATCGATTGAAATTTCCTGAGCTTGAGTCGTTGGTGCATCACCCGATTGATTATGCACGTGTTGTTAAGAAGATAGGAAATGAAATGGATTTTACTCTTGTTGATTTAGAAGGGCTTTTACCCTCAGCCATTATAATGGTTGTGTCTGTTACTGCTTCAACTACAACTGGCAAGCCTCTTCCGGAAGAAGTCCTTAGTAAGACTGTCGAGGCCTGTGATCGAGCACTTGATCTTGATTCAGCAAAGAAGAAAGTTCTAGATTTCGTTGAGAGTAGAATGGGCTACATTGCTCCCAATCTCTCTGCTATTGTTGGAAGTGCTGTTGCAGCTAAACTGATGGGCACAGCTGGTGGTCTGGCATCTCTAGCAAAGATGCCTGCTTGTAATGTTCAGCTTCTTGGTGCCAAGAAAAAGAATCTTGCTGGGTTCTCCACAGCAACATCTCAATTTCGTGTAGGTTACCTCGAGCAAACAGAGATATTTCAGACTACTCCTCCATCTCTAAGGATGCGAGCATGTCGACTCTTGGCGGCAAAGTCTACACTTGTAGCACGTGTAGATTCCATACGGGGTGATCCATCTGGAAATACTGGAAGGGCTTTCAAGGATGAGATTCACAAAAAAATTGAGAAGTGGCAGGAGCCCCCTCCTGCAAAGCAACCAAAACCACTACCAGTTCCTGATTCTGAGCCTAAAAATAAGAGAGGTGGTCGGCGGCTTAGGAAGATGAAGGAAAGGTTAGCATAGGCTTAAATTTTTGTTTGTACTGGAGTTTTAGGTAGCTGTGTTGAAGGTATGCTGCCTTGTGCCTTTTTTTTTTTAATTTATGACCTGTTGATTCTAATTACAGGTATGCAATAACAGACATGAGGAATTTAGCCAATAGGATGCAATTTGGAGTCCCAGAAGAGAGTTCATTAGGTAATTTTACCAGTTTTCTCTTGTCCTGATCTGATTACATTTGCATAGCAATATTTTCCTTTTTGATTTTTTTTTTAATTTGATGCTTGAATTTATATTTATTATATTGAAAAATATAGGGAGTTAGGGATTATTTAAATGGAATAAAAAGGAGAACGGGAAGTAATTAGACTTTTAATAATTAAGTTGTGATAGTGATGCAATACCGATCACATAAGGAAAGTGAAGGATTATTTGGAAAAACAAGGGAGGGAATTGAAAATATATCCACCCGCCAATGTAGTTGGTGGTAGTGGGCAAAAAGGAATGTGACATTCTGTTAGGCTATTAGTGAACAACAGGATTGAAGTGAAAAGTGAGCAAGAATTGAGTTTGGAAAATGGTGGGTGACAGGAATTTCTCTATTTCTTTGGTCCAGTGTGTTCTTCTGTATTACACATCAGAGATTCCAAATAGCTAGCTTTTTCTATCCGTTTGTTATGGCAATTCTGGTCTAATTCCTAACAATTATTAATCCAATTATTCTAATAATTGATGCAGCAACTATGCGTGAAATTCACAACTCAATTTGATGAATTCTGATATTTTTTAATTCAAAATGTTCTTAAAAGGCAGAGTATGAAGACATCTCAACTCCAGGTTGGGCATGCAAATAGTAAAACTGAAAATGAGGTGAAAATTAGGAAAATAGCTTGAAATATAATTTTATGGGTTCGGTACCTTGAGATATTGAGAAGAAAAGTCTGAGTTGCTTACTTTATCACTCATCTGCATATTATATATATATGTATGTGCGTATGTGTATGTATGTATATATCAAAAATGGA